TCTCTCTCTCTCTCTCTCTCTCTCTCTCTCTCTCTCTCTCTCTCTCTCTCTCTCTCACACACACACACACACACACACACACACACACACACCTGCATCATAGATCTCTCTCTCTTTCTTTCTCTCTCTCTCTCTCTCTCTCTCTCTCTCTCTCTCTCTCTCTCTCACACACACACACACACACACACACACACCTGCATCATAGAGCCATCGAAATCCAACACAAGTTAGACAGAAGAAAAGACTAAAAATGAGGAAAATGAAGGTTAAACGGGAAAAGAGACGGCTTCATGCCGCCAAGGATCAGATCTCGGTGTCCTCCTCTTTCTCCATGACTTCGACATTGGCTTCGGCTTCGACGGCGACCTGGTCCTCCTCAGGCAGGGGTTCTTCCGCGTAGTCGTTCTCAAATGCATCGGTCGGCACCTCGTACAGTCTGATCACCTGCTTGTTGGGATCCTTGACGATAAGGTACTTGCCTTCATTGAGCTTCATGCACATGTCCACCAGGTACTTGAGGATACCCCACATGTTGTTCACGCTGAGGTTGATCTGCATCGCGAAGTCCTTGGGCTTGTATCCCTGGATCCCCAGGATGACGTGGTTGTACTTGTCCCGGGGATGAACCCTGGAGACATAGCCGAGCTTCATCTGCTCCGCGCCGGCGAGAAGGGCCTGAGTCGTCCACTTGGCCAGCTTGTTGGCGTTGTTCTTCAGCTCCGTGGCGAGCACGGCTCCCCTCTGGTTCTCCAGCTTCTGCCGCCAGTCAACGCCCGACGCCTTCGAGTCAAACTCGTTCAACGCTTTGACCGTGAGGAGCACCTCCTGACCCTTGACCTCGCTCACAGCGTCCACCTCGCACCGAGCCACCAGCGTGATGTCGTTATCTAGCTTCCACTTCCTATACCTATAAGCGGCGGAGGCCACTTCATCCTCGGGGGCAGCGAATGGGTTAGGCTCCTCAAAGGTGAAGCGCCTGCCGTCCTTGAGCAGTGCCTGCTGGGAGAAATTCTGGTTGATGAAGGTCGCCTCCTCGCTCAGCGCGGTGACGGAGTTGATGCTGTCCTTGTCCTCCGGCGGGGGCTCCTGGGACGTCTCGTTGACCGTCAGCAGGTCAAAGGCGCCGTCGCGTTTGTCGAAGAACAGCTTGGTGCCCACGCGCTGCACCACCACGTCCCACGAGTACACGGATCGAGTCGCGCACATCAGCGTGGAAAGGATCGCGTCCGTAGCGAACACGCTCCCGATGTCCTCGCTCGCCAGCCGTCGGATGATAGGATCGTCCGTGGTGGTGACCCGGAAGAACTGCTTGTTCTCAGCCCTCTCGAGCGACCGCTCCGTCTTCGGCGTGATGCGGTCCATCGCCTTGTCGTAATACTCCAGCGCGCCGCAGGTCGTGATGTCCTCGGGCTCGCCGACGGTCTGGCTCAGCTTCGTGATGGCCGTGAAGGGGATCTGCTCCAGCATCGTCCACTCGGGTCGGATGTCCACCGAGCTTGCGAACACGGCGCGCGGCTGGTCCCTGTTCTGCCAATACGCGTTCCACTGCCCGCGGCGGAGCTGCTGCGCGCGCTCGCGTCGGTGCCTCTCCCTCTCCGTCGCCGTGTCGCGCCCGCCATCCTTCCTCCCCTCGTCGCGATCCCGACGCTGGAACCTCTGGAACCGTCGGGGTCCGTACCTCGGGCGAGGAGCCTGCCGCGTGTCCACCAGATGGAACGACTCCTCGTCATCCACGTAGAAAAAGTTGAAGTAGGAGTTCACGCCGCCGGGGCCGCCTCGGTCTCCGAACCGCCCGCGGAACCCCGAGTTCGTCCAGTCCGAGGCTCTCCCTAATCGATCCCCCTTGCTGAAAGGTGCGTACGGCACGTCCTTGTACTGCTCAGGTATGTGCGTCGGCCCCCACCCATCTTCGTTGTATGGAATATTCGGTACCTTAAATTGCGCCGGCATCCCGTCTACGTTCTCTCTCTCTCTCTCTCTCTCTCTCTCTCTCTCTCTCTCTCTCTCTCTCTCTCTCTCTCTGTGTGAAATTTTATGTGTCTCGCAGACTCCTTTCGCAAATGCGCGCCGACTTGATCCACAGACTCCAACGATTACCAAGGAAAACCCTAAACACGAGAAAAGACAAGAGTCGCGCGGATTCACGGTTAATCATTAAAGCAATCAATAAACAGTGTACTGAAGGATCCATCCGCAAGAGAACAGAGCACCAGTGGAACGTCTGCAGCAGAAAAGAAGGCCAAACATGACCACGCGGACATGATGATAACATAACATTCGCAAAACACGTCTCCAGTAAACGAAGATTCTTTATTCGTTTCTCTACCCAACATCCCTTCTCCTTTTTTCCTTCGTCCATCCATCCAACCAAGAAAGAAAGAAAGAAAGAAATGGATGTGCTAAGACAGAAATGGATGTGTTAAGTTAAGAAAGAAGTGGATGTGTTTCTTTCTTTCTTTCTTTCTTTCTTTCTTTCATCGACATCAGATCTCGCTGTGGTCCTTCTACTGGGCGGTGAAAAACAATCAGCGAATCAGACGTTAGATAACACACTTTGGCATTCCTACCTTTCTTTCTCCAACGCGATCAGACTTCGCTGAAGTAGAGAGATGACCTAATCACGGCTTCGGGCGCAAAGTAAAACAGTCGGATTTGTGCACGAGGTTTTGTGGGAACAGAAAGAAGCGACAGAGGTGAAGTTGGAGGAGGGAAAGAGCGCCGACCTCTCTCCCCTCCTCTTTTTTCCTCTTCCTACCGTATCTCCCTCAGCATATCCCTCCTCTTTCCCTCCTCCCTCCTCTTTCCCTCCCTCCTTTGTTTTCCCTCCTCCTCTCCCTCCTCTGCCTCTCTCCTCTGCCTCTTCCTCCTCTGCCTATCCTCTTCGTCTCTACACCTCCTCGTTCTTCCTCTACTTTCTCTGCCTCCCACCTCTTCCTCCTCTGCCTCTCCCTCCTCTTTCCCTCCCTCCTTTGCCTTCCCTCCTCTCCCTCCTCTGCCTCTCCTGTTTCTCTCTCCTCTTGCCTCTTCCTCCTCTCTCTCCATCCCCTTCGTTTCTCCTCCTCTCCTTTCTCTCCCTCCTCTTTCTCTGCCTACTCCTCTGCCTCACCTTCTTCCTCCTCTTCTCTCTCCCTGCTCTCTCCCCACTCCGCTTTTAAGTCCCTTTCTTCTGCATTTTCGTAAATTTATTGGGAAAGCAAAACCCCGTCCTCCTGACAATATATGGGGAAGGGAAAACCTAGGCCGTCAAAATCGTTCACGGTATAAAAAGCTGGCTCACTGATGTCTTCACTTCACATTATCGCGCATTTCGCTGCCTCTCTCTCTTTTATTTGTTTCCATCGTTGCGAGAGCGGGAGTCTGGGTTCGCCGAAATTGCTGCTTGTTAAGTGTCCTCTCTCTCTCTCTCCTCCTGTGCTTTTTTGTTTCCGTACCAATAAGCAAACCATTATTATAGATTAAAACAACAGCATTTCTATGAAATTGCAAGTAACTGCTATCTTTTCGATATTTGGTGGCTTTTTTCTTTTTTAGGCTTTTATGTTTCCACTACGCAATTTCTTGGGAAGACGCCGAGCCATCGTTGCGAGCGGAAGTAGGATTTGCACAAAAAATTTGCCTTCTTAATTGCCCCCTCCTATCTCTCTCTCTCTCTCTCTCTCTCTCTCTCTCTCTCTCTCTCTCTCTCTCTCTCTCTCTCTCTCTCTCTCCTTAATTGTATCCTCTCCTCTGTACCTCTTGGGCGGGCAAGAAACAACACAACACATAATCTACATGTATAGATATATCAATAGATGTGTAATACACATGCATATATAAACACACACCGCAAAGAGAACTGCCCGGTGAACCGTAGGCAGAGAGGGAGAAAAGGACAACAAACGAGGGGCTGTGACAAGCTGTTTCATCGAAGTTTCACCGACTCATCAGGAGGCTGAACCTTATACATTTACAATCCATTTAGGTATACATGTACATATGTCCATGCATATTTATATATACTGCACCTCTTCCCTGAATAGGAGGAGGCCCCATCATCTCGATCGTTCTCTTAACTCCCTTGCCCTTCTCTCTCCCCTTCCTCATTTCTCAAATATTTAATTAAAAAACAAAAAGCGAAAGGGATCCCGTCGTTCACCATTCCTGAATCCACTCCCAAGCCACCATCTCTCCCTGTCACAAAGGAAAATAACACCGTGAACGGACCAAAAGAAAGGGAAAAAGAAAACCCTTAATTGCCTCTCTCCGCACCTTTGACCATTTTCCGTCGTCTCCCCCTCCACTCGCTCTCACACCTTCGTTAGTCCTCTCTCTTCCCCTCCCCCGCCGCCACTGTATACGCGCGAACGACAACAGCGCACAACTCCTGGTTGGGCTTCGCGCTTCGCCTTTTCCCGTCCCTCTCTTTCTCCTCCTACAGGAGCTGCTCCACCCATCTGTCTCCTGCGCACCAAATTCTCCTCCAACACTCCATCTTGTGTCCGCTTTACGCTCTCTACCGGTTCAAAGCAGAGTCCCTCTCTGCTGGGGGGGAAAGCACATGGCAACAATCGAGGGAAAGCAAAAAAGACGCGGAGATACGCAAAGCTCTCTCTCTCTCTCTCTCTCTCTCTCTCTCTCTCTCTCTCTCTCTCTCTCTCTCTCTCTCTCTCTCTCTCTCTCTCTCTCTCTCTCTGTGTG